AATTCAGTTCATATATGAATCGCGATTCTGTCTTCTAATGATTCTAATGGATTCACAAGTTTCAAAATCAATGTTGTAAAGCAGTGGTTCTCAATCCTGTTCCTCGCGTTCCCCTGCTCTGCACACGCTCAGCATCTCTTTAATCAGGATAAAACCGTATATTAAAAGCTAACAGACGCAGTAGCATTTACAAATAACAGCGTATCTAAAAGTATGAGACCACAACAAACAAAAAAATACCATTAAGAGCCTTGTGTTTGCACAGGTTCTGCGTGATCCTCTTCACTAATATCCTCTGCGTCTCATTCAGGCTCAAATTGATAAGCAATATTGATGACGCCATTGTTTACAATACAGTCGGAGCACATGCCGCTGAGGGCGGGACGTTTAGGTGCGAATCTAGCGAATCACAACACACTGGGCCAGCTAACCAATCAGAGCCCATCGCGCATTTCTGATGGAGGTGCTTCATAAAACCAGGAAATCATCAACTCGTTTATAGGAGAAGGGACAGAGCGGTGTAGAATAAAGATAAATTATGTGGAAAAATAATGCGTTTTTTTTTAACGAAGCATTAACACATGTTAGGGGCCATTCATTCTTGTGAATGTTTTCTGTAATTTTTAATATGATGTTGGATGATATTTTTTCATTTATTATTTTTTGTTTTGTTTTATGTGTCTAATCTGTATGTGAAACTTTCTGTGCTGCCATTTTGGCCAGGACTCCCTGGTAGAAGAGATTTATATCTCAATGGGATAATTCCTGGTAAAAATAAAGGATAATAATAATTCACACAGAATGCTCTTTGCATCTAAAAAAAGTGCAGAGCAGAACGCTTCCTCTGCCACGTCAAAGACTATAGAATACCCAAGACGTGTCACTCATATAGTTTTGAATGGGGAAAAATGCAATGCTCAATATGGCCGCTCTGTCTAACGAAGCCCCGCCTTCTGAGCAAAAGAGCCAATCACTAATCGGTAAAGTCAGCGTGTCACTGCAGCTGCCGTTAGAAGTCCCGGTTGCTATAGAAACAGTCAGCATTCTGAGACGTGTGCCTTGGACTGCGCATGCGCACTGGCTGATCTAGCCTGAGAAATTAGCTTTTTATAACACCATTTAAACAAAATAAACAACATTTATGACACAGTTGTTGTCAGATTTCTTTGGTGATTTCAAATATGAAATTTAATCGCAAGCTTAGTAAACAGTTTTGGAGAATTTGATGTTTCCTCATTCAAAGAGATAGGAGTTGCACTTGCATGCCCGAGTGGCATTTCAAAGATGGCCGCCGAGTGACATGACTTGTCTTAAAGAGACTTTGGCCATGTTGCCATCAAATACAAAAGTTGCCATGCCAACCTGCTACTGTAAACAAAAGCTGGCAACGCTTGCCCCGCCTCCGGGGTCTTCTGATTGGTCCACTGCTTTGGAACTGACATTGATGTGCGGCGCTGCGTGTAAAAGTTGAAATTATTTTCAAAATGTGCTGCAAAAGATGCGAGACACGAGCGTAACGGTCATGCACATCTGTCAAGCACATGTTTACATAGAAAAACAATGAAAAAGTAGCTCATTGGAATGGAAAAATGCGTACTGTGTGAATGGCCCCTTAGACTGCACCCCATAAACACAATCAAGCCTAGAAAAAATCAACCACCCCTTTAATTTGTCTGTATATGTTTTATTCATTTTTGTTTTATTTATTTTAGTATATCAAAGTTAAACTAGCTGAAATATAACTATATTAACCCTGATTTCTAGTACAGCAAACAGAAGATGCAGAGCAAGAAGAAACTGTCGTTGTAAGACTGAAATGCAAAAACATAATGCAAACATGCAGTGTTTTAAGATGATATCACTAGATTTTTACATTTAAAGAATGTTTTCCATTAGTTTTTATCCATCAAGCAAAAATACTACGTCTGTTCACTTAGAAAAGTACAATCACTAACAATTGCACAAATTATGTTGAGCAAGTTATGCACCAAAGTTAACTTTATTTGTTGTATTCACACGCTCAAGTAATGATGAAACAATTTTGGCTCTGGCCCATTCCATCCCCCAAACTCGGCCTAAGGATGCGCATCACTGCTCCCTGGCATGATTTTCGGACTCCATTGTGTGGCTTTCATTGTCCCCCCTTTCTCGAGCCCAAAAACTCTCGCAATCTTTCCTCTAGTTCACTGCACGCCCCCTCTGCCTGGCCTCTGCACACCTGGTCCTGGCAAATTAGTGCGAAAGAGAGGGGGCTGCGCGGGTCTTTAAGCATCCCGACGGAGCAAAAAGTTAATGATGGGAGCTTCGTGGCTTTCATTGTCCCCCCTTTCTCGAGCCCAAAAACTCTCGCAATCTTTCCTCTAGTTCACTGCACGCCCCCTCCGCCTGGCCTCTGCACACCTGGTCCTGGCAAATTAGTGCGAAAGAGAGGGGGCTGCGTGGGTCTTTAAGCATTCCGACGGAGCAAAAAGTTAATGATGGGAGCTTCAGTGCAGCTGACAGTGGGAAAAAAAGTTTGAGAAACAGAACGAAACAAAAGAAACACCATACATTCATAAAAAAAGGTTCTTCCATAGTTTCATGAAAACCTTTAACATCCTTAGAACCTTTCCATTCCACAAAAGGTTCTTTATAGTGGAAAGAAGTTTTTTAAATGTTCTTTACACTAAGAAAAAAAGTGATTCTTTGAAGAACTGCTCACTGAAAGGTTCTTTGGGAAACCAAAAATGGTTCTTCGATGGCATCACTGCGAAAACCCACTTTTGGGGGCCTTATTTTTAAAATGAAGAATCTCTGAATGTTCTTTTTACTTAGTTTGACACTGAGATTTTCTATGCATAGCTAGTTGGTATTCAGTTATGCAGAATTATGTCTAAAACAAGTGGAAGAAATAATGCGCGACAAGCTAAATCAAAAACTCTTTTAGTTTTAGTCATTCTAAGACTAAATAAGTGAAATTTGCACAACAATTTTCTCTACTTGTCCTGCTTTTTTTCCTCTAATAAAAGCAGTTTATATGCCCGCCTTCTCTACAGGGTCTAATCTGGCCTGACAGCTTCCTCTTGTAATTGGTGCTAACACCCAGATGGACGGGGCTCTAATTTGCGGTTCCCAATAAAGAGAGGCGGCTGAGGGGGTGGTGGAGAGGGGGAAAGCCTTGATTTGTTGGTTATAGATACAGAGGCCGTAAACTTGATTTGTTGGTTATAGATACAGAAGCCGTAAACACCCCAGGCCTCTGGGCCGACAGTTTGAGCAGGCTTTTGTTCACACATTTGTTCAAAAGAAGCGCTCTTCGCAACCTCCCCCTCCTCCCGCTGCCTCTCTCTCTCTCTCACACACACATACAGCCTATTCCCTCGGTTTCATTCAGCCATTCCTCCGTGCAGCACTATAGCTGGAGTAGTAGTGGTGCGCAAGAGTCTGTGTGTCGTTGTCGTGTGTGGATGGGTGGCCGTGACCTGAACGTTTTTCAGGCCAACTGCTTGACCTCTAGCTATTAATGAGGCCACAGGCAATGAGCTCTGGGTCAATGGTCAGGTAGAGGTATGACGTATAATTAAGCTTCCCGCACACTCTATCATCTATCTGTCATTCTGTCGTTCTGTTGTTCTATCTGTCCATCCATCCATCCATATCTACAGTATCTATAATTATTAGTAAAACTGAAATTAAAATGAAAACTATTAAAAATATTTAAAATAAAATGAAGATTAACCAAAATAAAATAAAATTCCAAAAACTTTAATATTTTACCTTGATGTACTAAAATAACTAAGACTGATGATACACGGGGCAACTTTTTGAGCAATGTTGCCATCAATGGGCAACCAGGTGAGACACAGGGCCCACGACCGATCTAAAGTATCCAGGTAGAAATTTGTTACCCATTCTCAATGGAAAAGTGCCCAAGCAACATTGCTCAAAATAAGTTGCCCAGCAAAATTGCTCAAAACGTTGCCCCGTGTATCATCAGCCTAAGACTGAAATGACTAAGACTTGAACTAAAATTAAAATAAAAAAAGAAAATATAAAAATGAAAACTGATTAAAAATGTGAATAAAATCTATAATAGTATATCCCTAATAGTAAAATAACATTGCATGTCAGTGAGATAATTGTAGTGAGATATTGTAGTTAATATTCATATTTTGAGTTACTTTTTTTGCCTTTATTTTAGTTCATTTTAGTCAATTTTGTATTAGTCATGTTTTGTTTTTTAATTTGTCTGTATAGTTTTTGTTCATTTATTTTATATCAAGTTAAACCAGCTGAAATAAAATAATTTTTCATGTTTTTGTTTTTATTTTTTATTTTACTTAACTTAAAATTTATTTTAAAGTAACAAAAGTGTTTTCTAACTATAATAACCCTGATTCTAGTGCAGCAAACAGAATGCGCAGAGCAAGACGAAACTGTCGATGTAAGACTGAAATGCCTGTACAAAAGCAAAAACATAATGTGCACATGCAGTGTTTTAAGATGATAAACACATACTAGATTGTTACATTTAAAGAAATCAATTTGTTTTTATCCATCAAGCAAAAATACTACGTCCAGCCGCTTAGAAAAGTACAAAACAGCTAGTGAGAATTGGTAAATTCACATCCAACAGCCGCACCATCAGCACTGGCGCCCCCCAGGGATGTGTTCTCTCCCCACTGCTCTTCTCCCTGTATACCAACGACTGCACCTCTACTGACACCTCTGTCAAATTCCTTAAGTTTGACACCACACTTATTGGCCTCATCCAGGACTGTGACGAGTCTGCTTACAGACAATAGGTTGAGCGGCTGGCTGTCTGGTGCAGTCTTAACAACCTGGAGCTTAACACGCTCAAAACTGTGGAGATGATCGTGGACTTCAGGAGAAACCCCCCTGCTCTCCCCCCACTCACCATCATGAGCAGCACTGTAACGACAGTGGAGCCATTTCGGGTTCCTGGGCACTACCATCTCTCAGGACCTGAAGTGGGACACTCACATTGACTCCATTGTTAAAAAGGCCCAGCAGAGGTTGTTCTTCCTTCGCCAGCTGAGGAAGTTCAACCTGTCACAGGAGCTGCTGAAACAGTTCTACTCCGCCATCATCGAATTTGTCCTCTGCACTTCTATAACTGTCTGGTTCAGCTCAGCTACCAAATCTGACCTCAGAAGACTAAAGAGGATAGTCCGGACTGCTGAGCGAATTATTGGTACAACCCAACCTACCCTCCAAGAACTGTACTCATCCAGAGTGAGCAAAAGGGCTGGCAAAATCACTCTGGACCCCTCACATCCAGCACACTCCCTCTTCAAACTGTTGCCGTCTGGTCGGTGCTACAGAGCACTGAGCACCAGAACGGCCAGACATAGGAAAAGCTTCTTCCCTCAGGCCATCTACCTCACGAACAGTTAAATGTTCCCACCACTGTGCAATAAAACGTGCAAAACCACTATCCATACTTATATTTATTATGCATATGTTATTTATTTAACATAAATTACATCTTTTCAAATTCCCTGGCATCTATCTATTTTCAAAAAGTCTTTATCAAATCAACATTCAAAGTTTGTCTTGAATTATTCATAATACTTTGTATTATGTGGTGGTGCACAACCCTGTTGAAACAAACTGCATGATCAAACAGACATTAACTTTCATGCACAGACGCTAGAAAGTTTAACTGAAATGGATGTTATAAAAATAGATGTGTGGCAGAAAGACTTCAATGTGTTCTTTCAGTGGTCACGTCTAACAGAAAACTGTTTGATCTGTTTGTAATGATACATATCAGTTCATAGTACCACTGATCACAGTGAACTGTTTAACTGTGAGTTATGGAGTAAACCTAAGACTGCACTATGAAATCACAGCCCAGCTTTTGAAGTAATGTTGTATGAGGGCTGCGGTTCAGTAGTGCATCACACTGCACTGTGCAAAAGAAGCTGGAAATAATACAGGGATGCAAGGTTTAATTGATTTTGAACAAATGTTAAAGGACACAAAGCAAATTCATGGTTTCTGTGGAGGAGTCTTGATCACACAGATGGAGAAAACACGTCCTTGGCTTTTATTGTAGGACTTCATGTGAAAATTGGGGTCATTGGGTCTAAAAAAAATGGGTGGATTTAGGTGAGGAATTGACTTGTTCTCAAAGAAAAGGTGACAAGTCAATGTTTTATTCAGCACACTGATGTTACCATTTGCAGAAAGCCAAGAACACAATCTTTTTTTATTCTAAAAATTAACAAATCATTGCAGTATTGTGGGCTAAATGTGAGAAACGGCATAGGTTTAAATAAAACAGCATAATAAATATAAAAGGTTAAAGACTAAAATATATATTATCCAGACTAAATTATATATGAATGTACCAAAAATTGATTTATTCCTTTCTTAAGGGAATTTTTGCACATATCTTCCCATGACATTTGTCCTAAGGAGTTTTAGAAGAAATATCGGAAACAAAATTCACTGAAAAGTTACGAATCAATAATATTTCATGTATATATTTCAGTGTCATTTCAATATTTGCTTCACACAGCTCAACAGAGCTTTTATTGTACCTAGTTAAATACTCATTATAGTCTGGAATACTTTAAGGGCTGCCAAAAATGTTTTCTTTGTTTCCGTTGAGCCATTAATATCAGAAACTGCTTTAGTTTCTCTAGTGTTACTGAACAAACAATGACGCTCACATTTTTTCAGCAGGTGCTCTTCGTTTTAATGCCGTCATTCTCTCTTCGGCTCTCAGGAAATATCTGTGTTGTTGAAAGAGCAGCTGTGTGTTCTCAAACCCAAACTTTGTTTCTCATTCTGGCTCTCTGTGAAAGGGCTTCAGGTTTGGAGTGGTGCTCATCTCACCGTGGACCAAACCTTTCAACTCAATCCAGAGCAAACAAATACACACATCTCCTGTGTCTTAATAAGCCATAAAAAGAGTTTAAAAGAAAACGACGAAACAAGAACACAATTCTCTGCTCAATCTCTTTATTGTTTATGATTATAAATGGAGAGTAATAATAAAAAATGAAAAAAAAAAAAAAATTTCATTTGCTGAAGAAAATATCAGTGGTTCTTAAAGGGATCGTTCACCCAAACATTTTATTTAGCCCATGCTTTACTCACCCTCAAGCCATGTTAGGTGTATTTGACTTTCTTCTTTCAGATGAATACAATCGGAGTTATATTAAAAAGTGTTCTGGCTCATCCAAGCTTTTAAGTACTCCACACGGCTCCAGGGGGTTAATAAAGGCCTTCTGAAGGGAAGCAATGCGTTTGTGTAAGAAAAATATCCATATTTAAACTTTTATAAAACATAATCTCTATCTTCACGCATTCACGAGAGAGTGGCGTCCAGTGGATGATGTAGAACGTAGGCGTTGCATAAGCTTTGATAAGGAGAGCAAAACAAAAAACCTGTCATGAATTAGAAGTACAAAACGAGGATTTACTTGAAACAAAACTTGGTTCTCAGGAGACTAGCATATTCTCACTGGAGCTTACGCTAAGCCTACATCCTACGTCATCCGCTGGAATGCCACTCGATTTGCATTGGTTCGCTTCAGAAGGCCTTTATTAACCCCCTGGAGCTATGTGGAGCACTTTTTATGATGGATGGATGCATTTTATTTTGCTTCAAAATCTCGACTACTATTCCCTGCCATTATAAAGCT